CTGAGGCCCACAATTCCAAGGTGGTGGCGACATGAGCTCCTCCTCCTCCTCCTCCTTCCTCCTCCTCCTCCTCCTCCTCTCCTCTTCCTCCTCCTCTCCTCCTCCTCCTCCTCCTCCTCCTCCTCCTCCCCTCCTCGCTCGACCTCGACCTCCTCCTCCTCCTCCTCCTCCTCCTCTCCTCCTCCTCCTCCTCCTCCTCCTCCTCCTCCTCCTCTCCCCTCCTCCTCCTCCTCCTCCTCCTCCTCCTCCTCCTCCTCCTCCTCCTCCTGGCCAACGCACCTCGGGGACCCTCAGATCCACCCTGAGGGCCCACGAGGGCCCACGAGTGCACCCCTCGTGCCCGCGGGAGACCGCGAACAGCCCCCGATGCGCCGCCCCGGAAGCCTCTTCAAGGCCTCCACGAGCCCCGCAGCCAACGCGACGCTGCAGCTCGTGGATGCGGCGAACCGCCCGGCCCTCTCGTGCGCGCGCCCTCGCCTCCGACACGACATCAAAGGGGCGGGTGGACCCCTTTGGGCCCTCGCGTGGCCCTCTTGAGAGGTCCCAGGGCCCTCTGGGGGAATCTTCGCGCTCACTGAAGACCATCGTGGGCCGCCCGTCGGAGAGCTGGGGCGCCCCCCTGGGCATCTGGAGCAGCGGGACGCCCGCAGAATCGAGAACCCTGAAGCCTTTCGAGCACCTGCGGGGCGCCAGTGACCTGTACCTCCTCAGACACTCTTGCGCAGTCTCTTGGAGCCCTCTTGGGGCGTCTTGGGGGACTCTCGGGCCGTTGTGGGGCCTCCAGACGGCCAAGATAGCCTCGAGGCTGCAAACGAGGCTGCAAAAATCGCCCCCACAAGTAACGTCTTGAACCCTTCGTGGGCCGTGCTCCACCCTTCCCTTTCGGCGAGGGTTCTTCCCTCCTCCTACCCGCCCCCATGGCCCTGAAGGAACAGAGCCGGGAGAGGTCAGCGCGCTCAAGGTTGCCCGCGCCAGGGCCGTCTTCGGCACTCACAAGCCGTGCAATGACTCCGCCCAGGCCCGAGAGAGACCCACAGGAAGACCACGAGAGCCCCAGGACGAACCCAAGAGCGACCAGCATCGCCCTAAGAGGGCTCCACAGCAGTCCACGATGCCCAAGAGAACCCCAAGACGGCTCCAAGAGCGGATGCAGCCCTCCAGACGATGCTCCCCGAATAAACTTAAGGCCGACTTCGGGGTCGGCGGCAGAGGCGGCAGCCTTAGGATATCCCCACTAAAAACCTAAGAGGGCGGAGAAAGGGGGCGGGGTAAGGAAGAAGGGCAAGAAGGGAGGAGCCCGCTGCCGCCTGCACCTTCTCTTGTCGCACAAACATCCAGCCCCCTGTACTGGCAGCATTGGCAAAAGGCCGTTACAATAAACCAATCGGCCTCGGACAGTACATTTTAGCTTCACTGTCGCATTGCATATCTGTATTTATACATCTATCGACATGTCAGAAGTGGCACGATGGAGGCAAGCGGCTCTGGATCACGCCGAAGCGAGAACATCCCAAGAGCCCACCAAAACCTCTTCCACGACCCGACGAGAACGTCCCCCTCACCCAAGGTGTGGCCAGCGCGAGCACGCACGGGCGCGAGTGGGAGGAGGAGGAAGAGGAGGAGGAGGAGGAGGAGGAGGTTGGAGGAGGTCGAGGAGGAGGAGGTTGGAGGAGGTCGAGGAGGAGGAGGAGGAGGAGGAGAGGGTCGAGGTCGAGGAGGAGGGCAAGGAGGAGAAGGAGGAGGTGCAGGAGACCGAGGACGAGGAGGAGGAAGTCGAGGAGGAGAAGGAGGAGCAGGGAGGAAGATGCCCCGTCGCCCGCCGCCCCCGGGAGCCACTGCGCGTGCAGCGCGGCGAGCCCCTCCAGGAGCTGCCGCGACAGGCACTTAACGTGCGCCTCTTTGCGGCGGCGCCTCCTCCTCCTCCTCCGCCTCCTCCCTCCTCCTCCTCCTCCCCTCCTCCACCTCCTCCTCCTCCGTCCTCCTCCTCCACCTCCTCCTCCTCCTCCTCCTCCTCCCTCCTCCTCTCCTCCTCCTCCTCCTCCTCCTCCTCTCTCTCCTCCTCCTCCTCCTCCTCCTCCTCCTCCTCCTCCTCCTCCTCCCCCTCCTCCACCTCCTCCTCCTCCTCCTCCTCCTCCTCCTCCTCCTCCTCCCCTCCGCCTCCTCCTTCTCCTCCTCCTCCTCCCCCTCCTCCTCCTCCTCCTCCTCCTCCTCCTCCTCCTCCTCCTCCTCCTCCTCCTCCTCCTCCTCCTCCCTTCTCCTCCTCCCCCTCCTCCCCTCCTCCTCCTCCTCCTCCTCCTCCTCCTCCTCCTCCGCCTCCTCCTCCTTCTCCTCGGGAACGTATCCGCCACCGTGCCTCTTGCACGAAGCGGAGTGCCCCAAGGCTCATGCAGCACTGAGAGGTAGACGCTGCACTGCTGCCTGCAGCGAGAACTGTAGCCGTCGTTTCCCAAGCTTTTCCGGGCGTCGCCCCGTGAGTTCTGAAGTGCTTCCTGCGCCTCCTGTGGACGCTGTACCCCCTCAAAGCGACCTCCCGAATCCTCACATGAGTACAAGAGGGCCCCGAGTCGCCGAACGATCGCCCCAACACGCCCAGGATGGGCTCAAGATGGTCCAAGAGGCCGAGGCCGTCAAGAGGCCTCCCAAGAGGGCCCCAAGAGGCAAACATCACTGATATTCCCTAGGTTTTTCAAGGAATTGGGCGTTCTCGCATTTTCGGCTTTCCCACGATCCAAGACGGCCCGAGAAGCCCCGAAGACCACCCCAGGACGGCCGAAGAGGCCTCCAAGAGGCCCCAAGACGGCCTAAAGCGCCCCAAAAAAGCGCAAGAGGCGCCCAAGACGACCCGGCTCCAAAGGGGCCCAAGAGAGGGAACACAAACCGAAAATCCAGACCCTGCCGTTGGGGCCTTCGGTAGAGCTCCCTGTGGGGCCACGAAACGTTTGAGGGGTGTGCCGAGTCGGTTGCGGGTATGCCATGCGGACCCCCCCCCCAAGAGGCCCCCAGGAGGCACCAAGAGCCCCCAAGAGGCCCCCAAGAGGCCCCCAAGAGGCTCCCGAGAGGCCCGAAGAAGCCCCCAAGAGGCCCCAGGAGTCCCCCAAACGGCCCCCCGAGAGGCTTCAACACTGCAGCCCAGAGGACCCCGAGAGGCCCCCCACGAGATCCCGACGAACATTCAACAGGCGCTGCACCCGCAACCCAAGTACGGTGGCGGGATGGGCCGAAAGCCACGAAAGAAGTAACAACTCCTCCCTGGCGCACCCCGAAGCCGCTCGGAAGGGCGGCCTGGGCGGTCCGCCGGAGACTTCCTCACCACTGATGGCGCCGAAGTTTGAAAACCGACAGCAGCTTCACGGCTTGAGGGCGGTGCGTCTTCAAAGTGCGACTCTCGCCTTGGCCACGCGCGCACTCGCTGGAAGCAGTTGCAAGAGCTTCCAGGATCGAGGGCGACCCGTTCTCAAGATGCGGCTCTCGCCCTAGCGCCGCGCACATTCGTTTCAAACATTTGAAAGAGCTTCACGGCTTGAGGGCGGCCCGTTTTCATAATGTAGCTCTTGCCTTAGCACCGCGCGCACTCGTCCTGAAAGATCACAAGAGCTTCACGGATGGAGTGCGGTTATGTTCCAAAACGTGGCTCTCGCCTTTGCGACGCGCACATTCGTCTTAAAAATGTAAGTTTACGGATTATCATGGCTAACGTCCCAGAAATGGTGTTTTGGAGGCGTGTAGGACTCAGGGTGCAACAGTTACGCTGGTTCGCGGTGTTGCAATCCCAGGAATGGTGTTCTGGCACGATTCATGATCATCGAGACGCAACAGTAAAGGTTGATTCGTGGCGCTGAAACCCTAAGACTGGTGCTCTGTCTGGCACGGTTCAGACGTTTCGCACAGTTGTCTTCAAATGGGGCACTTCCCGTAGTGGAATTGAACCCTTGTAGGGGCCAATGAAGAAGAAGCTATTGCAACATCGTTGATGAGTCTTGGATTAACACAGGTAGTCCTCCTCCTCCTCCTTCTCCAAATCCTCCTCCTCCAATTTATCCCTTTCCTTCTTGTCCTCCTCCGGTTCCCCCTCCTCCTCCTCCTCCTCCTCCTCCTCCTCCTCCTCCTCCTCCTCCTCCTCCTCCTCGTCCTCCACATCCTCCTCCTCCTTTCCTCCTCCTTTACTCCAGCCCCATCCTTGTCCATCTGAGAAACTCCTCCCAGTCGCCCCACGACGCATCCGTGGGCCATGCCTGGCGCTTCGCCCGGGACTTCCTCGCAATCCATCACCCGGAAGCCTGAGATTACAGGAGCTTCCAGGACGCAGGACGGGCCGCTTTCTTAACGGGGTTCTCTCTTTGGCGCCGCACACGTTCGTCTGCAAAGTCCGTGACAGCTTCAAGCAGGGAGGGCGGGCCGTTTTCAGAATGGAGTTGTCGCCCCAGCGCCGCACACATTCGTCTTCAAAGTCTGTAAACAGCCTCAAGAATGGAGGGCGGGTCGTTTTTGTTAAGGAAGCTCTCGCCTTGGCGCCGCGTACAATTGTCTTCAAAGTCTGCAACAATTTCAATGATGGGACCAATTCCTTTTTCGAAGGCTCTCACCGTAGAGCCACACATATTCGGCTCCTCATATTGCAAACGTGTTGAAGGGCTCGTATGTTTGAAGTCCCAGGAATAGCTGTCTGATACAACTTGAAAGCTGTCAGTACGCAACACACACACATGGGCTCGCGGTGCTGAAGTCCAAGGGATGGCGTTCTGGTGCGATTTAGGATTGTCAGGGCGCGACGGTCGCGTTGACTCGCGGCGTTGACTTCCCAGTAACTACGTTTCCGTACGATGTAGAATTCCAAAATAATTTTGGAAATTGAGTGGTGCACGAATCCTGTCAAATTAATTCCCAAGCAGTGCAGGCACTGAGGGGACCTTGCTTGTCTTCAAGGGAACTGGGCTTGCAGGCCGCTCTGGCCGCCAGGTGGCCGCCGTCGCCGCCTCGCCGCCGCCCGTCGCCGCCCGTCGCTTGGGCCTGCGGGCCGCTCTGTCCGCCATGTGGCCAGGCCGCCGTCACCGCCTCGTCGCCGCCGTCGCCGCCTGTCGCCTGGGCTGGCCACCGTCGCCGCCTCGTCGTCGCCCGCCGCCTCGTCGCCGCCCGCTTTGCATCGTTTGATTCGCATTGCTTCGCGTTGCGTTGCATTTCTTGGCATTGTTCTGCCTTGTGCTGATTTGCTCTGCGATACTGTGTATTGCGCTACGTCACTGTATTGCAATCGCAATTCTTTGCAATCGCCTTGCCTTGCCCTGGTTTACAATGATGCAGGCATGCACGCACGCATGCGTGCACGCAAATAGACGCTGACACAAGTTCGCTGCGCACATTCGCGTGAACACACGCGTACCACAAAAGAAAAACTCGACGGGCTGTGGAACCCAGCTTTCTGCGGCATGTGTCGAGCCGGATCGACACGTGATAGTCCCAGGACCCAACTCCTGGCGAAAACGCCCTCTGTGAAGAAGCCGCAGCGCCCAGATCTCGAGGGAGGCAGAATTATGTTGCATCCTCGGGGGACCTTGTCTGTCCCGTCGCGGCCCTGTCCGCGTCGAATGCGTGTCGAATCCAGGTCGGACGCGTCGGATCCGTGTCGAATCCGTGTCGAATCCGCGTCGAGTCCGCATCGAGCCCGCGTCGGGCCCCCAAAAAGAAACCAATTTTAGGGACAGGTCAGGTCCCCCGAAGATGCAACAGTCCGGGATGGACAGACGCCCCTTTAGTAGAACGTGGTTTAGTGAAAACGACCTGAGGCCCAAACCTGGCGGGCGCAAGCCTGGAAAATAACGGCCACGGCGCCATCTCGAGAACCGAAAACGGACAATTCACTAATCGACGTGTCACTGTTGGGGGTTCTGTCCACCCCCGATACAGAAGCAGAGGCGACAAGCGCACCTCAGGATCCCTTGGTGGCGCCGCTCGGCAGAGGAGCCTCCGAGGGGCCCGCCGCGCGGACGGGCGCGCTCGACGGGCGCGCCCGCCCACGTGGGGTCTCGGGAGGCCTCGGACGAGACGGGCGGCGCCAGGCAACCACCGTCGAGGTTCGGGGGCGCGCAAGCACGGATTGGCGACCTATGGATTTGGCGCGCGGTCCTCCTCCTCCTCCTCCTCCTCCTCCTCCTCCTCCTCCTCCTCCTCCTCCTTGTCCTCCTCGTCTCCACCTACTCCGACCCCATGTAGGAGGGATCAGCGATCCGTGGATCTGGCGCGCGGTCGCCGAAGCCATGCACCGGAGGACGTGCCCTCCCCAAAGTGCGGCCCGTGCCGCCTCGTCCGGCGGCGGGGAGCTGCGACTGCCCCTGGAAACGGGGCCCGTCGCTGTTCCACGCCCCCTTGATCCATGTCTGCGATCACCTGAGTGGAGATGAGGCAGCTTCGCTCAGGCTGCGCCCTGGGACGCCCGAAGTGGGCACGGACAACATGGGTACAATGCCCAACAACAAAGGTTGTCCCAAACCAACAGCGGCCGCGGGTAGGCGGCCTTCTGTCTCAAGTGGACACAGGCCGCGGCGGCGCGGACAGCGAGCCCTGTCCAAAATGAACAGGAACTGCTGTTGGGCATTGTGCCCCTTCTTTCCGTGCCCATTTCGCTCGTGCCGAGGCCCTCCCCCGAGCTCCGGGCGCTGCAGTCTCCTTTCGCGCGGGCCGTCCTCGCCGGGCGCGGGGCCCTTCTCGGGGCCTGCGCGGATCGATGTCTGGCTCGCGGGAAAGGCTGCCGCAGGCGGGCTGTGGGTCTGCATGCGGACTCTCGCGCGCTCGGGGCAGGGCGCGCGAAGGAGGGCGCCAGGCGCTGCCGAGGGCAACGCTGCCACATAGGAACGTGCCGGCGGTGGACAAACCTCCTCCTCGTTCTCGTCCTCGTCCTCCTCCTCCCCCTGCTCCTCCTCCTCATCCTGATCCTCCTCCTCCTCCTCCTCTCCTCTCCTCCTCCTCCTCATCCTCCTCCTCCTCCTCATCCTCCTCCTCCTCCTCCTCCTCATCCTCCCCCTCGTCCTCCTCCTCCTCCTCCTCCTCCTCCGCTTCCTCCTCCTCCTCCTCCTCCTCCTCCTCCTCCTCCTGACACGTCGATTAGGGAACTGTCCGTTTTCGCTTCTCGAGAGGGCGCCGCGGCCGTCATTTTCCAGGCGTGCGCCCGCCAGGCTTGGGCCCGAGGTCGTTTTCACTAGACTCGGCCCCAGGGGTCTGGATGGGAGGGGGACGGAGGTGTCAGGCAGTCCTTTTTCGCCCAAGAGGGCCTCCGATGCTGCAAGATGGGCTGCAAAATGGCTCAAGATGGCCGACGATGGTTCAAGATACCGTCCGGCATACCTCCAAGAGGTCCCAAGATGGCCACAGGACGACTCCAAGTGCTCTGGCTTAGATGATGTTGAAAACGCTTTGGCAAAATCGACTTATGTGTCCCGTTTTAGGGCCGGTGTTGTTTCCACTTTGTGCAATTTCGAGCCGCCGCTTTCTTTCAGCTTTGAGGTTCGATGTTTAGGTGTCTTTCGGTTTTCAGGTCTGGAACTAGCCTGCGCCTTGCCGCGCCGATTGTCATCAGTCGTAGATACGTTAATGCGTTTTCAGCCGTCCACACACGTCGATCATGTTTGAGCCGTTTTGGCAATGCGCTCCTCCCCGCTTTGGCACTCCGTTTTCTGTTCGATTTTGGCTCGGACGCGAATCGTTTCAATCTGGTTCAGGTTGCCGTGGTTGCTCCATGTTGGACAGCCCAAAACTGACAAGTTGAAAACTATACCAAAAACGCCCCCGGCAGTTGTTTCACATCAACTAAGTGCACTCGGGGCCACCAAGTATCCCATCAAGAGTCCCAAATCCGTTAAAACCGTTGGAAAATCAATGCGTTGTGCCTTCTCGCCTTTTCGCGTCGATGGGCTTCAGAGGCCTCAGGATGGCCCCAAGACAGCCCAAGGGAGTCCCAAGAGGGGCCCAAGAGGCCCCCCAGCCAGCCCCGAGCGACCCCAGAGATCGTGTTGAGAGCTTTCGAGGACGGGCCTACACAGAGGGCCCCCCTTGGCCTCCAGGATGGGCCCGGCCCCCCCCCCCTGGGCCTCCAGGGTGGCCCCCAAAGGCCCTCCAGGGCTCCCGAGGCAGCGGGGCCCGAAGACCCCCCAAAAACGAGCTCCGGGGGGGGCCCCGAGAGGGCCTCGAGGAGATCTGCTCTTCTTATCGGCAGCGTGTCTGCACGGGCGAGCGGGGTACCACGAGGCGTGCAGGACTACAAGATCAGCACACGTTGTGGCAACCAGTCTCCTCGGGCACGACTGCCGCCGGGGCTCAGGCTAGAGCCACGTCGACCGAGGCCCGACGACAACTACTGCGAGATCTGCTGCGAATTGAATTACTGCTCGTGTTCCCAGATAAGATCAGGTCGCAGCTGCTGCTGCTGGCACTCTGCTGCTGCTGCTGGCACTCTGCTGCTGCTGCTGCTGCTGCTGCTGCTGCTGCTGCTGCTGCTGCTAATAATAATAATAATAATAATACCGCTGCTGCGCCCCCTGCTATTGACACAGGTACTGCTATGGTTAATGGCACTGCTCCGGCTGCTGCCACCGCCACTGCAGCTGCATCCGACGCGCCCTGGGAAGACTCGAAGCCCGTCGAGCGCCGGGTATTCGCCGAGCTGTGTGCCGGAGCCCTGCAAGATAGCAGCCCGGAGCGGCGCCTCCGCGAGGTGAATGCTGCTATCCTGGCAGGAGGGCGCAGACGCCAGCGGCGGCCGGGAGCGAGGCGGGGCAGCAAAGTGCGGACGAAAAGCATCGGACGCCATAGATCGAGGATGAGGACGAGGACGAGGAAGATGAGGAGGAGGAGGACGAGGACGAGGACGAGGACGAGGAGGAGGAGGAGGAGGACGAGGAGGAGGAGGAGGAGGAGGAGGACGGGTCGCCAGAGCCCTTCGGAGAAACCCTCCACCCAGCGGCAGCCTCTGGAACGAACACCGCGTGCGGCCTCATGCGGGTCCTTCCCAGTGGCGCGCGGCGGGGGGGAGACCTGTGCAGGCTCTGCTTCGCGCGGGGCGGGGGAGACAATCTCAACGTGCGCCCAAAGGTCGGCGGCCCTGGGTCACGGCGTGTCGAGCCTGCAGCTGCGCAGAGCGCAAGACGCGGCAAGGTGCGAGAATGGCCCGCCCCTCACGCTGCGGGGCAGCGGCGAGAGCCGGGTGGCGACGGGCGCGGGCAGGTCGGCCTGCGCGAGGCGGCACACGGAGGCAGAGTGGGAGCACGTCTGTCTGTGGTTGGGGAGCGCGCCCCCGATCGGGCGGGTGGAGAGTGCGCTGCAGCCGAGAGGCAGGGCCCGAACGGACTGCCGAGGCGGAGCGGAAAACGACCAGCGCCCACCAAGCTCGGCACCGAAGTCTGTGGTTGTGGGGGAAGGCTGTCGGTGTCACCAGGAGCTCAGGGTCTAGGAGAGCAACGCTCCAGGTGACAGAGTTCATTTCCGCTCCCAGGGAGCTCGAAACACTAAGGGGGAGGGAGGGAGGGAGACGAGGAGGGAGGACGCAGAAGGGAGGACGGAGGACGGAGGACGGAGGGAGGGGAGAAGGGAGGATTCTCCCTTTCCCCCACCCTCTCCAAGCTTAACTCACATATGGAACTCGCAAGCTGGATTCGGAAAGGGGGGATCGGATCGAAACGGATCGCCTGTGCGGGCATGCGCCCGGGCCCCTTGAGGGCGAGGTGGGGTGAGGCCATGGCCTCACATGAGAGGCAGCGCGCATCGGAGGCTTGCTCAGGATAATGCGTACCTCACGAGTTGATGTTCCAATTGTTCCCACTCCTCTGCTGTAACCCGATGTAGTGACGTAGTTTCGTTGAAGTCGTAGTGTCTGTGGCATGAACCTGTCGGAGAATCCCGTGGATGCCATCGTCTTTTCTGTAACCGCGAAGCCCAAGCCAAACACGAACGAGTTGAACGCCTCGGAACTCCAATCCAGTGCACACGGGCGCAGGATCACTCGTGTTCTCACGAGCTCTTTGACACATCCTTCAGATACCAATCAGGGCGCAAATATACGCGCAGCCGAAGGTCCATAAGCTGGAGGTCGATTGGCGGTGGAAACGGGATGTCGGAGGCTAGAAATTTGAGGTCGGGATGTTGTGCTGGTGGAGGGTGGAGGTCGATTGGTTGAGGTAGAAGTCGAGAGTCGGATGCTAAAGGTTGGTTGTTGGAATGCTGATTTGGTGGGCGACGGAAGTCGATAAATAGAGGTGGGAGTGGAGAGTCGGATGCTAGATGCTGGAGGTCGGAATGCGGGGCTGTTGACCGCTGGAGGTCGATAGGTGGAGATGGATCGAAAGTCGGATGCTAGACGTTGGTGGTCGGCGTGCTGAGCTGGTGGACGCTGAAGGTCGATTGGTCGAGCCGGAAGTGGAGAGTCGGATGAGCTGATGATCGTTGGAGGCCGATAGGTGGCAGTGGAGGTGGAGAGTCGGATGCCGGAGATTGGCAAGTCGGAGTGCCGACCTGGTGGACGCTGGAGGTCGATTAGTGGAGGGGGAAGTGGAAAGTTCGGGGATGGACAGACCTCCCTCTAGTAAAACGTGGTTTAGTGAAAACGACCCGAGGCCCAAACCTGGCGGGCGCAAGCCTGGAAAATAACGGCCGCGGCGCCCTCTCGAGAACCGAAAACGGGCAATTCACTAATCGACGTGTCACTGTTGGGGGTTCTGTCCACCCCCGAAAAGTCAGATGATGGAGGTTGGAGGTCGGAATGCCGAACTGGTGGAGGTGGGGAGGTCGATCGGTGATTGGTGGAAGCGGAGAGCATGAGGGCGGCACAGGAGACGGGCGGGGCAGCAAGCACGACGCTGAGGACCACGACGACCGGAGGAACGTGGTAGCACGCAAGGCTCTCAATGTGATCAGAATCCGGCGGATGCACTCGACCAGAAGCTGCAAGTCTACAGTGGGGGCGTTGACCTAAGGAACCCTAAATAAGGAACGAGGCCCCTTTTTCCGTAAGTTAACCTTCGATTTCCGATCGAAAACCTAAGGAAAACCCAAGACAAGCTGCGAAACACTGAAGGAACGCGGAGCCCCTCCCAAACGTAAAAGGCTCCTTCTTCAGGGCCCCGACTGTAGCACTCAAGGCTCTCAATGTGATCAGAATCCGGCGGATGTACTCGACCAGAAGCTGCAAGTCTACTCTCTTCAGCCCTTGGAGCCGAGTCAAGGCGAGAATGGCGCCATGGTACGACTGGCTCCGGAGGCGTTCCAGAAATTCTGGAGCATTTAGCAGCCCTCGTTTCCGTAGCCCGTGTGGAACATGATGCAATCTTGAAAAAACCCTGGAAATCTTGCAAGTCTTGGAGCGACCTCGTGATCGTCCGACAAGCGGACCCGCACTCGCCTTCTGCTATGCTCTGCCGCACCCCGCGCCACGCTCGCATGCCGGCAGGCGTCTCCTCGATGACCTTCTTCAGGTCCCCGTCCATAAACCTGCCATGGGACGAGCCCGGCAGCCCGTCCCCAAACGCTCATGAGCAACTCTCGACGTGCGTCGCTCTCCCTCCCCGTCTGCTGGGCCACTCACGCCGACATGATCTTCACGACTTGCTCGCTCCCAGCCTTCAGGGAGAGGCCAGATCGAAGGGTCCAGGGTGAGGACGCAAGGCCCCTAGGCATCCGAGGTGCAGTAATCGGCCAGCGGCATCGGCAGGGATGCACGCGGTATCTTTGCCGAGGATGCAAGGCATCCTTGGCAGAGAACCTCATCCGTGTTTGGGGGCAAGCGGTACACCCAGCTACAGGGATAGGGATCAGACGTCGAATATGGTACGCCCTCATGAAAAATCTGCACAGCGCGCAGAGACCCCGCTACCACACACAGCTGCTTACTCGAAGAACAGCGTGGACTCGACGAGCCCCTGCACAAACTGGCCTTTACCAACGAGAAGACCCACCGTTCAGCGTGCACCATCATTCTGCCAGTGTGGATAGGATAGACATGTACGCGGAGTAGTCTGACATCAAGAGTCACTGCACAGACCTTGCAGACGCGCTGCAGCGGATTTTCGCGTGGATCTCTGTCAATGCAAAACCCCGAAACAGCGAGCGAACAACGAAGTGAATTTCGCGTGGATTTGTAGTAATCCGCACGAAATTCTCTTCGAAATAACGAAATTATCCAGCACACTCCGGGCCCATCCTGTTTTTTTCCAAACGAATCCGCTCTGCGATGTTGGCGCCATATCAAGAGCCACTCTACATTCTGCCAGGCGCGCTCGATGGTGCAATCGCGGGTCGGTCGCCAGCGTTCACGCGCGCGAAGCGAAACGCATCGGCACGGCACGTGGGGCGGGAAACGCAACGACAGAACGACTGCGCGCGGCGCGCCCCTCAGAGCAAGCGTCTCATGCGCGGCAGCATGCACCGACATGGGAGGCACAAAGACATACTAGCTCTACATGTCCTCCTTGGAGGCGGCGCGCGTCCGACCCGGGCATACAGTAGACCCGTCTCGTAGCATAGCGCTTGCCGAGGGTGCGGCCAGCAAGCGCCCGCCACGACGCATGTCCTGCAAGATTCCTCGGTGCGCGCTGTCGCCCCCTGGGGGTGCGACGTAGAATGAGCATGTTGGGGTGACGCCGACGGCAAGCCGAGCAAACCTGACTGACGAGCACAGTGCACCGCGCACGGCGGAGGGGAAGGCCCCGACGTCGGTGCCGCCGGCTCCGGGGCGGGACCCGCCTCCGAGGGCTTCGGCGCCGGGCCACCCCGCCGAAGGCGACGCCAAGGCTTTTTTGTTGTTCTTCCTGCGGGGCAGTCGCCTAAGAGGGACAGTCTGGGCGGGGCTTCGTGGGAGGGGCCACAAATCGCCGAGCGCGTTACACTGCTCGCAGAGTGCCTACTCGCAAAAAAGTCCGAACAACACGTGTCTGCTCTGATGTAACTTCTCATAGGTCTCCCGCGGGGGGATCCAGGCCATTTGCGAGTAGTTACCTTGCGAGTAGTGGAACGCGCTCGTCGAATAAATGGGGGGTCAGAAACGGTCCCCTTTCGTGCTCCTTTCGGGCCCCTCCGGAGCCCCAGAGGGCCTTGTTTTTGAAGCACCGTTTGGGTACCTTTTCGGACCACCCTCGCCACACCCCCATTGATGACACCCACATTCTGCAACGCCCCAAGAGTGGCTGCCCCACGAATGCTGGTCCACGCGATCGTGAACCTCTGGCGCTTGCGCTTTACAAGTCGCGCTGCATATATGCGCCGTCCAAAGCAGGCGGCCCGTCCCTCCCAGGAGGAAGACGAGGGCAAGGAGACGGCGAGACGGAGCGGCGAGAAATCCGACACGGTGTCGCGAGGCACCACTGCAGGCGCACGGGTGGCCTTTACCCTTACCATTTAGAAGGAAACCGCCTGAAAGAGCACTGAGTGGAGTGTCCCGAGGTCCCTTCGAGGCCTTTGAACTGAGCACCGAAAGCGGATGGCGCCCCCAAGAGGGCATCAAGACAGGCCAAAATGGCAAGAAAACGATCCTATCGGCCACCGAAGGCATCCGACTGGCCAAGGTAGCCGTGGGACGACCATGACAGGCCCTCAGGAGGCTCCCCGACGCCGCCAAACGGCCCGAAAGCGCCCAGAAGAGGCCCTTCAGAGACCTCCCCTCCTCCTCCTCCTCCTCCTCCTCCTCCTCCTCCTCCTCCTCCTCTCCTCCTCCCTCTCCTCCTCCTCCTCCTCCTCCTCCTCCTCCATCATCATCATCATCATCACCACCACCACCACCACATCATCATCATCATCATCATCACCACCACCACCACCACCATCATCCTCCTCCTCCTCCTCCTCCTCCTCCTCGTCGTCGTCGTCGTCGTAATCATCATCATCATCATCCTCATCATCATCACCATCACCACCACCACCACCCCACCATCATCATCATCATCATCATCATCATCAGCATCATCATCATCATCACCACCACCCATCATCATCATCATCACCACCACCACCACCACCATCATCATCATCATCAGCATCAGCATCAGCACCAGCATCAGCATCAGCATCAGCATCATCGCCATCGCCATCGCCATCGCCATCGCCATCGTCACCATCATACTCATCAGCAGCAGCAGCATCGGCATCAGCATCAGCATCAGCATCAGCATCATCGTCATCGTCATCCTCATCCGCATCCTAATCCTCATCATCATCATCATCATCATCATCATCATCATCATCATCATCATCATCATCATCATCATCATCATCATCATGATAATCACCATCATCATCACCATCATCATCAGCATCAGCATCAGCACCAGCATCAGCATCAGCATCAGCATCATCGCCATCGCCATCGCCATCGCCATCGCCATCGTCACCATCATACTCATCAGCAGCAGCAGCATCGGCATCAGCATCAGCATCAGCATCAGCATCATCGTCATCGTCATCCTCATCCGCATCCTAATCCTCATCATCATCATCATCATCATCATCATCATCATCATCATCATCATCATCATCATCATCATCATCATCATGAGAATCACCATCATCAGCAGCATCATAATCATCATCAGCATCAGCATCATCATCATCACCAGCACCAGCATCAGCATCAGCATCAGCATCATCATCATCATTATCATCAGCATCATCAGCATCAGCATCATCATCATCATCAGCGTCATCATCGGCATCATCATCATCATCAGCAGCATCATCGTAATCATCAACATCATCGTCATCATCATCAGCGGCATCAGCATCAGCATCATCAGCAGCAGCATCAGCATCGGCATCAGCACCAGCAGCATGGCGATCATCATGAACATAATAATCCTCATCATCACCATCATCATCACTACAATCATCATCATCATCATCATCATCATCATCATCAGCATCATCATCATCAACATCATCATCATCATCAGCATCATCATCAGCATCATCATCATCAAAAGCATTATCATCGTCATCATCAGCATCATCAGCATTATCATCATCATCATCACCATCATTAGCATAACTACAATCATCATCATCATCATCAACATGATCAGCATCATCATCACCAGCAGCATCATCATCGGCAGTGTCATCATCATCATCAGAATCAGCATCGGCCTCATCATCAGCATTCGCATCATCATCAGCATCATCATAATCATAGTCAGTATCATCATGATCAGCAGCAGCATCAGCATCATCAGCATCATCATCAGCCTCATCATCAGCAGCATCATCGTCATCGTTATCGTCCTCAGCATCCTGGTCATCGTCATCATCATCATCAGCAGCATCATCATCACAATCACCATCACCATCATCATCTTCAGCAGCATCATCAGCATCATCGTCATCTTCGTCGTCACCATCATGACTTCAAACGTCATGTAAGTTAGTATGATGGTTTTGATGATCAGCAACATGATCATCATCAGCATCATCAGCATCACCATATAATCATCATCATCATCATCATCATCAGCAGCATCGTCATCACCATCGTCATCATCATCAGCATGATCAGAATAATCATAATCATCGTCGTCAGCAACATCAGCGTCAGCACCATCATCATGTTCATCAGCATCATCGTCGCCAGCTTCATCATCATCATCATCACCATCATCACCATTATCACATCATCATCATCATTACCGTCACTATCATCCGCAACAGCATGAGCATCGGCATCAGCAACTGCATCGGCATCTGCATCATCAGCAGCAGCAGCAGCATCATCAGCAGCAGCAGCATCCTGCTCCTCCTCCTCCTCCTCTTTCTCCTCGTCCTCCTCCTCCTCTGCCCTCCGTCTCTTCTTCCTCCTCCTCGTAAGTCCTAAGTCCCCCTCCTCAAATTCCCTCGCACATTCCTCATGTGTTCTACGCCTCAACTCCATTTTCCTCCCCATCCGCCTCCTCCTCCTCCTCCTCCTACTCCTCCTCGTGTTCTTCCTCCTCCTCCTCCTCATTATCCTCCGCCTTTTGCTGCTCCTCCACCATCCCTGTCCCTTACGAATAACTCCTCCCTGTCACACCCCAGACGCTCTGATAGGTCGGACCAGGCGTTACGCTTGAGACGACCTGGAGTTTGACATGCGCAACAGATTCACGGATTTAGGGGGTGATTCGAGTCGTGACTGTCACCCTAGCGCCGCGCACATTTATCCCACATTTTTGTTTCTACATACGTCGGAAATGGAGTACGCAAGTTTTCTAATGTGGTTATCGCCCCAACGCCGCGCAAATGTACTTGAAAGTTTGCAGCACTTCGCGGATGGAGGGCGGTTCCATTTCAAAATGCGGTGCTCGTCAAAACGCCGCGCGCACCCGTCCCAAACAATGGCAGCAGCAGAACTGGAGAGGTTCTCCCTTGAGCGTCGCGCTCATTCGTCTCAACATCTTGCAACAGCTTCACGGATGGAGGAGGGGCCGTTTTCGAAATGCGAGCTACTCTTAACCGCCATGGAGAAGGGGCCGTTTCCGAAATGCGAGTTTCTTTTAGGCGCCGCGACCCTTTCCTGTGCCTGTTGAGTTCACATGCTGTTTCGCGGTTGGAAGTTGTAGCTTCAGATTGTGATTATAGCGTTCCCGCCGCGAAGATTCGTCTGAAACGTTCGCGACAGGTTGGATGGAAGGCTATGCTTTTTCAAACTAAGTGAGGTTCTCACATGACACAAACAGCTTTTCTGCCTAAAGACGGGCTTGAGCCAAACGTCAGTCGCACCCTGGCTGGGTCAAGCTACTCCCGCGGCCATCCTGTCTCCCAGCCCCCCGCAATGACGGTCAACAAGGAGGTACATTTGCGCGCCATGCGGGATAATTCATGCCATGCCCGCTGCTGCGACCACACCACCTTGGAGAGACACGTCGAATCTCACCACATGCAATCTTTGCACAATCACTGCGCTGGTCACGCGGGCCCGACACCCTTCCATCGGCGCCAGCCCACGCCGGGCCAAGCGATAGGGAAAGCCACAGACAAGAAAGCAGCAAAGCAACGCCAAAGCCCCCGCAGTCGCCGCCGCCCCTCGCCCAAGGGTCTGCCCCAACTCTCATCAGCCACCCGGGATCCACCCCGCTTGGTCGACAGGGGCCCCTCGGCCCAGCCAGGGTCAGGCCTCGCCGCACGCCGGCGCGCGCGGCGAGGCTCACCAGCGAAGAGCTGCCCGCAACCAACCTGTCACGGCGGCCTTTTGGCCGCCGCTGCGGGCCTGCCACGGCCCGCAATGTCACCCTGGAGCGCTCCAAGGCGCGACCTTCAACCAGGGGCGATGCTACCCGCGCCCAACGCGATCGCCCGCGCTGGCGCGGCGCCACCCGCTGCCATCGCATCGCGTTCGTCGCTGTCAAGAGGCGGCGCAAAGCTACCCGCGACCGCCGCAACAAGCTCGTTGTCTCTCAGACGCGGCGCGGTCACACCCGACCATCAGCCAGACGGACAGTGCGATCCCCCAAGACCGCTGAAACTATGACGGCGCGCAGCTGGCGGGCGCCTTCTCCGCCCCTGCGCCGCGCCTGACGCCCGCGGGCTCAACTGCGACAAAATCTGTACAATCGGCCCCTCTCACATGCGGCGAAGTGGGCGTTGCCTGAATGGGGGGGGTCGAACCACTTGGCAGCACGCACCCACGCGCCAGCTTGGGCCCTGTCCAGGAGCGCGCCCACGATCGCGAGCTCGAACACCCTGTTCCTCGGTGCACCCTGCACCCGCAGCTCCTTGATCGCCAAAAGCCGGACTTCGCTGGAAACCGTCTGGGCGGACATGCCTCGCGCAGCCAAGCTGCCTGTCGCCGCGGCAAGGTCGCTTGCCAGGCCAATGTGGCATATATTCTGGCTCGTCCCCACAGTGGCCACCAACGCGCGCGCGATGCCGCGGGACTCGCCCTCGCCGCTGGACAGCGCAATCGTCGCCTGCTCGGCCTCGCCGCAATCCTGCGCGCGGCCCCCGCGCCACCCCGCCGCCCACGAGGTCGATCCACGCGTCGGCACGTCGCGCCCGCAGAGGCGCACGCGCCCACGGGGCCCCCCCGCACTTGAAGAGCCGCCTCCGACGGGCACTCGAACACCTAGCTCGCCGCGCGCGGCTGCTGCAGGCCGCGCAACACCCCTGGCATGCCCATCCCAGACGTCAGCAACGACGCGGAGGACCGGGCGGTCGATCGGTCGACGGAAGGACACAGCGCGGCGCACGCGCCCTTCATGGAGCTCGTCGCGGCCTCGCCCTCCAGGTCGTCGCCCCCGCACCCCTGCTGGCCGCAGTCGGCCCCGACGACGGCGTCGGCGCGCCCTTCGGGCCCTCGCGGAGGCCCGCCAGACAGTCCGCGTCGTTCCCCGAGCTCGGGATTCCCCCCCCACTCGAGACCCCCAGGTGCCCAGCTGATCGCCCCCCTCACAAGTCGCCCTGCCGCCACCTCGCCGCCGCCGCCAGCGGCCCGATCCGCGGCAAAATCTGCGCGCCAAAGTGCGCGGTCAACGCCCCGTCGATCTCATCGAGGGCGGGCGCTGCGCCCACCGCCGAGAAGTCGCCGCCGCGGTAGCGCGCAGCGCACCCGAAGCCGTTGGAGACGAACATCATGAGGACCACCGTCTTCGAGCGCCCGATGCACGCCGGGCACCCTAGAGCGCCGCCGCTCTGTCTGGCCCTGCCAGTCCAGTGCGATGCAGACGCCACTGGGGGCGGATACCTCCAGCGCATCGCTGGCGCCCTTCTGGCCCCGACCACGGGCGATCCCCTAATCCCACCGCGCATTTTCCGCGCATCTTCCGGCGGGCCGGCACATGCGCACCCCGGCGGAAGCTCTGGCGTAGCGCTCGTCGGAGGCCAGACTCCAACCGAGCCACCCGCCCAGCACCCACCAGTTTTCGAGCTCGGGCATATCGGGCGCCCCCTGCGGGCCCCGGCAGCAGATGGGCCCGCCATACTCCGAGACCTGGCCTTCGCAAGGTCGCCCGCGGACCCCTCGATCTCGCGCTCTGAGTGCACCGTCAAGTTGCTGCACTGCTCATAACGAGACAGGAGCGCCCGGGCCCTCGACCTCGCAGCTCGCCCGCTAGACGCCACACGAGCGGCCGCGCCCAGACGGCAGCCGGCCAAAATTGCGTTCTGCTCGCACTCTTGCGAAAGACCCTGCATCGGCGCCCGCTGAACCTAAGCCGCCGGTCGCGCGGGGCGCCGCGGCGTCGCGCCCCGCGACTGCCTCGCCTGACGCGGCAGCCGAAGCGCCTCGCGGTGCCCCTCCAAGCCTGTCTAAGCAACGTCACCGGGCACCCCAAGCCGAACAGCAGCCAGTTGCCCTCACCTGCCGCCTCCCCGACGCTCACGATCGGGATCTTCAACGCGGTCTCGTCGCACCGCACCGCGACCTGCCACCTGCCCAGCAGCCCAAAATCCGCCGACCCCAGAGGCGTGTGCGATATCCTTCTGGGCTGGATACTACACCCGACCATTTCTCGCCCGAAACTGCCACCTGGCTCCGACACCACGATTCTTCTCCCAAAACCGCCAACATTCCCCTCCCCGCCCCCCACCTGGCCCCGACATCCCCACCCCAGATTGCCTCTGTTCTTGGGACTCCCCACCCGACGATTCCTCTTTCAAAAACGTCCACCGCCCTTCTCCCCGCCCCCCACCTGGCCCCGACATCCCCACCCCAGATTGCTCTGGTTCTTGGGACCCCCCACTCCACGATTCCTCTCCCAAAAACGTCCAAGGCTCCTCTCCCCGCCCCCCACCTGGCCTCGACGTCCCCAACCCAGATTGCCTCCTTTCAAAAACGTCCAACGCCCTTCTCCCCGCCTTCCACCTGGCCCCGACATCCCCACCCCAGATTGCCTCTGGTTCTTGAGACCCCCCACCCCACGATTCCTCTCCCAAAAACGTCCAACGCCCTCCTCCCCGCCCCCCACCTGGCCCCGACATCCCCACCCCAGATTGCATCCGTTCTTGGGACCCCCCATCCCACGATTCCTCGCCCAAAAACGTCCAACGCCCCCCTCCCCGCCCCCCACCTGGCCCCGCCCAGATTGCCTCTGTTCTTGCGACCCCCCACCCCACGATTCCTCTCCCAAAAACGTCCAACGCCCTTCCCCCGCCCCCCCCCACCTGGCCCCGACATCCCCGCCCCAGATTGCCTGGCCCCGACATCCCCACCCCAGATTGCCTCTTTTCTTGCGATTCCCCACCCCACGATTCCTCTCCCAAAAACGTCCAACGCCCCCCTCCCCGCCCCCCCACCTGGCCCCGACATCCCCGCCCCAGATTGTCTCTGTTCTTGGGACCCCCCACCCCGCGATTCCTCTCCCAAACACATCCAACGCCCCCCTCCCCGCTCTCCACCTGGCCCCGACATCCCCACCCCAGATTGCCTCTGTTCTTGGGACCCCCCACCCCACGCTTCCTCTCCCAAAAACGTCCAACGCTCTCCTCCCCGCCCCCCACCTGGCCCCGACATCCCCACCCCAGATTGCCTCTGTTCTTGGGACCCCCCACCCCGCGATTCCTCTCCTAAAAACGTCCAAGGCCCCCCTCCCCGCCCCCCCACCTGGCCAACCGCCTTTCCCCTCCAGCCCCCACCTGTCCCAACATCCCCACCCCAGACGCCCAGATTGCCTCTGTTCTTGGGACCCCCCACCCCACGATTCCTCTCACAAAAACGCCCAACGCCCCCCTCCCCGCCCCCCACCCGGCCCCGACCTCCCCACCCCAGATTGCCTCTGTTCTTGGGACCGTCCACCCCACGATTCCTCTCCCAAAAACGCCCAACGCCCCCCTCCCCGCCCCCCACCTGGCCCCACATCCCCACCCAATTGCCTCTATTCTTGGGACCCCCCACCCAACGATTCCTTTCCCAAAAACGTCCCAACGCCCTCCTCTCCGCCCCCCCACCTGGCCCCGACATCCCCACCCCAGATTGCCTCTGTTCTTGGGACGCCCCACCCCACGATTCCTCTCCCAAAAACGTTTAACGCCCCCCTCCCCGCCCCCCACCTGGCCCCGACATCCCCACCTCAGATTGCCTCTGTTCTTGGGACCGTCCACCCCACGATTCCTCTCCCAAAAACGTCCAACGCCCTTCTCCCCGCCCCCCCACCTGGCCCCGACATCCCCACCCCAGATTGCCTCTGTTCTTGCGACCCCCCACCCGACGATTCCTCTCCCAAAAACGTCCAACGCCCCCCTCCCCGCCCCCCCACCTGGCCCCGACATCCCCGCCCCAGATTGCCTCTGTTCTTCGGACCCCCCACCCCACGATTCCTCTCCCAAACACGTCCAACGCCCCCCTCCCCGCCCCCCACCTGGCCCCGACATCCCCACCCCAGATTGCCTCTGTTCTTGGGACCCCCCACCCCACCTTCTCTCCCAAAAACGTCTAACCCAACGCTCTCCCTCCCCCGCCCCCCACCTGGCCCCCCGACATCCGCACACCCACATTTCCTCTGTTCTCGGGCCCCCCCCCCACGATTCCCCTCACCCAAACATCGTCAAAACGCCTACCCTCCCCGCCCCCCCCCCTGGCCCCGACAATCCCCACCCAGATTGCCTCTGTGTCGTGGGACAGCCCCCCACCCCACGATTCCTCTCCCAAAAACGTCCAACGCCCCCCTACCAGCCCCCCACCTGGCCCCGACATCCCCACCCCAGATTGCCTCTGTTCTTGGGACCCCCCACCCCACGATTCCTCTCCCCAAAAAGTCCAACGTCCCCCTCCCCGCCCCCCACCTGGCCCCGACATCCCCACCCCAGATTGCCTCTGTTCTTGGGACCTCCCACCCCACGATTCCTATCCTAAAAACGTCCAACGCTCCCGTCCCCGCCCCCCCACCTGGGCCCGACATCCCCACCCCAGATTGCCTCTGTTCTTGGGACGCCCCACCCCACGATTCCTTGCCCCACAAACGTTCAAAAAACGCCCCACTCCCCCGCCCTCCCACCTGGCCCCGAATCCCCACCCCAAATTGCCTTCTGTTCTTGGGACCCCCCACGTCCCCCGATTCCTCTCCCAAAACCGTCCAACGCCCTTTCCCCCTCCCCGCCCCCCACCTGGGCCCCGGACCCGAACATTCCCCACTCCAGATGATCTCTGTGTTCTGGGGACCCCCCACCCCACGATTCTCTCGCCAAAAAGCGTAACCTAACGCCCCCTCCCCGGCCCCCCACCTGGCCCCCGACATCCCCACCCGAGATTGCCTCTTTTTCTTGGGTCCCTCCACCCCGCGATTCTTCTCCCAAAAGCGTCAACTCCCCCCCTCCCCGCCCCCCACCTGGCCCCGCCATTCCCACCCCAGATTGCCTCTGTTCTTGGGACCCCCCACCACACGCTTCCTCTCCCAGAAACATCCAACGCCCTCCTCCCCGCCCCCCCACCTGGCCCCGACATCCCCACTCCAGATTGCCTCTGTTCTTGGGACCCCCCACCCACGATTCCTCTCCCAAAAACGTCCACGCCCCCTCCCCGCCCCCCACCTGGCCCCGACATTCCCGACCCCAGATTGCCCATGTTCTTCGTACCCCCAACATCCACGATGCCTTCTCCCAAAACGTCCCAACGCCCCCCTCCCCCCCCCCAACCTGGCTCCGACATCCCTCCACCCCAGATTGCTCTGTTCTTGCGATCCCCCACCCCACGATTCCCTCTCCCAAAAACGTCCCAACGCCCCCCTCCCCGCCCCCCACCTGGCCCCGACATCCCCGCCCTAGATTGCCTCTGTTCTTGGGATCCCCCACCCCACGATTCCTCTCCCAGAAACGTCCAACGCCCTTCTCCCCGCCCCTCACCTGGTCCCGACATTCCCACCCGAGATTGCCTGGCCCCGACATCCCCACCCAAGATTGCCTCTGTTCTTGGGACCCCCCACTTCACGATTCCTCTCCCAAAAACGTCCAAGGCCCCTCTCCCCGCCCCCCACCTGGCCCCGACGTCCCCAACCCAGATTGCCTCTATTCTTGAGACCCCCCACCCCACGATTCCGGTGCCAAAACCGTCCAACGCCCTCCTCCCCGCCTCCCACCTGGCCCCGACATCCCCGCCCCAGATTGCCTCTGTTCTTGCGACCCCCCACCCCACGATTTCTCTCCCAAAACCGTCCAACGCCTGCCTCCCCGCCCCCCACCTGGCCCCGACATCCCCACCCCAGATTGCCTCTGTTCTTGGGACCCCCCACCCCACGATTCTTCTCCCAAAAACGTCCAACGCCCCCCTCCCCGCCCTCCACCTGGCTTCGACATCCCCACCCCAGATTGCATCCGTTCTTGGGACCCCCCATCCCACGATTCCTCGCCCAAAAACGTCCAACGCCCCCCTCCCCGCCCCCCACCTGGCCCCGCCCAGATTGCCTCTGTTCTTGCGACCCCCCACCCCACGATTCCTCTCCCAAAAACGTCCAACGCCCCCCTCCCCGCCCCCCCACCTGGCCCCGACATCACCGCCCCAGATTGCCTCTGTTCTTGGGACCCCCCACCCCACAATTCCTCTCCCAAACACGTCCAACGCCCCCCTCCCCGCCCCCCACCTGGCCCCGACATCCCCACCCCAGATTGCCTCTGTTCTTGGCACCCCCCACCCCACGCTTCCTCTCCCAAAAACGTCCAACGCTCTCCTCCCCGCCCCCCACCTGGCCCCGACATCCGCACCCCAGATTGCCTCTGTTCTTGGGACCCCCCACCCCACGATTCCTCACCCAAAAACGTCCAACGCCTCCCTCCCCGCCCCCCCACCTGGCCCCGACATCCCCACCCCAGATTGCCTCTGTTCTTGGGACACCTCCCACCCCACGATTCCTCTCCCAAAAACGTCCAACGCCCCCCTACCAGCCCCCCACCTGCCCCCGACATCCCCACCCCAGATTGCCTCTGTTCTTGGGACCCCCCACCCCACGATTCCTCTCCCAAAAAAGTCCAACGTCCCCCTCCCCGCCCCCCACCTGGCCCCGACATCCCCACCCCAGATTGCCTCTGTTCTTGGGACCCCCCACCCCACGATTCCTCTCCTAAAAACGTCCAACGCTCCCCTCCCCGCCCCTCCACCTGGCCCCGACATCCCCACCCCAGATTGCCTCTGTTCTTGGGACGCCCCACCCCGCGATTCCTTGCCCAAAAACGTTCAACGCCCCCCTCCCCGCCCCCCACCTGGCCCCGACGTCCCCACCCCAGATTGCCTCTGGTTCTTGGGACCCCCCATTCCACGATTCCTCTCCCAAAAACGTCCAACGCCCCCCTCCCCGCCCCCCACCTGGCCCCGACATCCCCACCCCAGATTGCCCATGTTCTTAGAACCCCCACTCCACGATTCTTCTCCCAAAAACGTCCAACGCCCCCCTCCCCGCCCCCCACCTGGCTCCGACATCCCCACCCCAGATTGCCTCTGTTCTTGCGACCCTCCACCCCACGATTCCTCTCCCAAAAACGTCCACCGCCCCCCTCCCCCGCCCCCCACCTGCTACCACATCCCCCACCCCAGATTTGCCTTCATGTTCTGCGACCCTCCACCCCACAACGATCACCTTCCCAAAAAACGTCCACGCTTCCCCCCGCACCCCCCCACCTGGCCGACATCCCACCCCCAATTGCCTCTGTTCTTGGGAACCCCCAACCACCCCTCGATTCCTCTCCGACTCTCTCCAAAAAACGTCCAACGCCCCCCTCCCCGCCCCCCACCTGGCCCCGACATCCCCGCCCTAGATTGCCTCTGTTCTTGGGACCCCCCACCCCACGACGACGCACCGGGCACGTGTGCGGTCCGGCCTTTTGCGCAATTTGAGAGATGAAGAAAGAAATTAACAGATTGCAAGGATGCTTCACGGGCTACATGTATGTCAGAACGATCAGAATCATGTGCAAAAAATAAACCAGAACGAGAGCGCACACGCCGAGGACCCTCGAAGTGGAACAGCGACCACGGACCTCTGGCATGCAAGGGGAAGTGCAACAGAGCCTCGCCGAGATGTCTGGGGAGGACCATCGTGCCTCCAAAACCCCAGTTTCGGAGCATCCAGGGGGGGGAATTTTCAGAATCTGCCCGTATGGACGTTAGTTTGCAGAGACCGATGACGATGAAGATGTTTATGTTGTTGATGATGACGTTGATGATGATGACGATGATGATGATGATGATTATGACTATCCGCCTGCACGTGTCCTTGCGTGTACAGCGATGACGACCATGATGGGGATGATGGTGATTATGATGATGATGATGCCGAATTTCTTTTCCAGCCGCCGCGCAGTCCACACGACCGTGTCCTCCCAAGTGCTGCGTGCAACTGCTGCCACTACTACTACTACTACTACTACTACTACTACTACTACTACTACTACTACTACTACCACTACCACTACCACTAC